CCTATTTTGAATTTGTAACACATTGAGTCATAATATCGTCTACTTTTTAATCTTTAAAAACATTTTAAATATAACTCTAAAATAATAGAAGAAGAAGAAGGAAAATGAAACAAAATGAAACGGGTCTTTCCCAACCACTGGTTTATAGACTAACCAGGCAATCTTTCACTTCCTCTGCCCCCTCCCTTCCCTCTCCTCCCAGCTTTCCCCCCGACCCAGCCAATTACTGTTACACTACTGTCTCTCCTTTTTCTCTCCTCACTCTAGGGCTCCCTGATCGAGAATTTAGACTATTGTTTAGGCAGTTCACAGAGGCAATTTGTGTGGTGGGTAAAAACACAAGCTCTGGAGTCACATTTCCTGGATTCAAATTCTGGTTCTAGCTTTGCAAAGTACCTACATTTTCTGATTCAACATTTTCTTACTTATAAAATGAAGGTAATGGCAGTCCAACTCTACATGTACAAGTGAGAACACATATTTCTAATAGAGATTTTGTAGAGATAAACAATATAAGCATGTAAAAGACGTGGCATAGTAAATGCTCAAGGAAAACAAACCACTAATATTTAGTCATTCGTATTATTACTTGTGCTGGGAAATATGATAAACAAGCTTGTCTTCTTCCACGTTTCAGTTATGAAATGTGTAATTATGGAGTGAGATAGAACATTATATTATGAAGAGATGATGTCAAATATCTGGATAAAATTGGAAAATAAATGCGGATGTTTCATACATGTTTTATAGCTTCTCTTTTCACTTGTCATGTTTCCTTCATGTGTGTTTATGTGTTTGTATGTGTGAGTAGGAAGCCAACACATTTGAATTCACCAGTCCCTTCTTGAGCACCTCTTTGAGCTGTAGGTTCATCATGGAACTTTGCACACATTATTTCTAATTCTCATTAAACATCTAGACTAATAAAATTCATTAGCACTTTAGAAAACTAAAGCTCAGGATGGTAGCGTAACTCATCTAAGCTCAGACAGGTAGTAAGCATTGGAGGAACACAATTGAAACCTGTATTTTGTTCCTTCAGAGTTGGTACTCTTTCCCACTACTACATGTATTTTGTGAATCCAAGACTAACGGCTTAAGGAGACTGGTTGATAAGTTCACTGATAAAGAATTGGTATCATCAGTACTAATAATTTGTGGTCTAAACTTAGTTTTGTGATGCACAGTGTCTTTCATTTTCATAAATAAGAACACTTCCAAGTGTTAGAATCTTTACTCACATAAATACGTACACTTATACAAATTATAAAATTGCATAATTACACACAATAAAAGGTAAGGATCTTAGGTACACTAATACATGTTTATCCTTCTTGATGCTACTATGAGACCCTGTCATACCATTTTTATTTATTTGGTTGTCATATCATCTTTATTTGGTTGAATAGTTCTATAAAAAATGGAGACAGCATAGTCCTTCGGAAAAATTTAAGTGACGAGAAAAGCTATCATACATAACAAGGTTCTTGAGGGAAAAAGATTTTTTTGTTGTTCTGATGAAGGTCAGTGAAACACAATCTCAGCCGTTGATTGTAAATGTTGATCTCAGAATGTGCTCTCTGAAGGAATGCTAATGACTCTTACCATGATGCACTGGCTTATTTAGATACCATTAAAAGCTCCAACTTGACAAGCAGGATGATGAACTGCACTTTTCCTATCAAGCAACACATGTTTAGATAACAGACAGCTCTATTAAGTTGGGAGATTATTTATTTTTAAAGAATCATTTTGCATCTTCTTCTGCAATCCCAGTTTAAAATTCAGACAACTCCTGGCTGATAAAGAGAACTTCTACCTAAGATTGGGCCTTGCCGGGGTACAGAGTATAACGGCACCTCTGTTTTGTCAACATAAAACTTCTTTGGTTCTCCAAAGTGTGAATTTTCTGTTCAAATCCTGGTATCTCTGACTCCATTGAATGAATGACTTTATGCCTCAAAAATATGCTTTGTTACCTACATAATTTTTATTATAAATAAATTTCAATAATTGAAATGTGAATGACTCTAGCCCTGACACCCTCTAACCCTTTACTTTTAAAAATTTCTTGTGATCTTTTAAATATTTCATGCAAGACAAAATAAAACAAATATATTTAATAGCTAAGTGAATATTTTCAAAATTAGGTTAAATTCTCTTTCTCATTACTTTTGTTACTTCCTTATCTTGAAATATTGAATTTGTTTCATATTTTCCAATAAATTAGTATATTCTTCCTCAAGAGGTAATGATATTGATTTGTCAGAAGCAGAGCAGGCTTTCTATAGATTATAGTTTATGACAATAGAAGGATAGACCCTGCCAGAACAAAACTAATTGAATCACTTCAAATTTCAATAATGATGTTGCTTTGACTCATAAAGGTAATATTTTGCTTTCAAGGGCATCATTTAAAATGCACTTGCAAATATAAACTTTAAACCTATATCAGTTAATATATGAATTATAATTTAAGACTTTAGCAGGAATTGGTGGGCAGCTTTTAGAGATAAATTGAAATACATTTTGTGCCCAGTCAGAAATAAGCCTAGTGATGAAAACATCCTTCAAGAAGTGCTGCTTACCTCGTTTTCACCTCTCTAGACTCAGAAGCTTCATTTTAATAAAAAGGAATAATGCTTGGTAGAAAAAATCTAGAAAAACATCATAAAGTATTCTTAAATATGAGACCATAGGGTCGTCATATATGGTTCACTGAAAACTATTGAACTCATAAAATGAAATCTAAGCACATTAGTATCATTTAGGGCTCCAGCAGGAAATAGGTGACATGCTCAAAGAAGAATTCAAGAGAATGTAATGCAGAAAATAAAAGTAGTTTTAAGGGAACCAGCAAATAATGAAGCACCCAGAAACCCAGAGATTAAGAGCAAGAAGCTACTATCACCTGTAGGCCCAAAGGTATAAAAAGATAAGCTGTGTTGTTGGAACGTAACAAGAGTTAAGGTGATGATGAGGGGCAGGCTGACAGGAGCTAGACTGAAGAACGGAGCCACTGCCAAACCATGGCCCAGCAGGTCCACCAGGGAGAGCACAGACCTAATCTTTTGTTCCCGTTGCTCTTTGATCTATTTCTTACTGGTGCTTCCTGTTGACCAAATCCAACCAGGAGCCAGAGTGCAAGGGAGCCCAGCCAATGTGGTCTCTAGAGGCCAGTCTTCCCTGCAACACAGGAGAGGGTAGAGAATGGACCTGGAAGGGCAGAGAGAGAATAACCAGCAAAACACTTTACCATAATCATCATTATACGGGATATGAATCCCTAGTTATTCCTCACTAAGGAGCTGATGGGAACCCTCTGCCATTTTTCTACTTCTCTGGGTTTCTCTTCTTCCAGGATCTGAAGTTCCTTTCTAGCTTTTTATTCAGTTGTTGTTCCACATCTTTCTTCACCAGAATACAATGCAGTGCTTATGGCAGGGATGCTTTTACTTTCTGCAAAATAATCTCTTTTTTCTTTCTTTTCTGCTAAAGTTTGCTTAGTACCATGCCTGGAGTAGCTGATTTCAATGAAGCATTTCTCTCTTTGACATACTCCCTAATATCCAGGCTCCCTGGTGCCCTACTATACTGGGGTGGTTTTTTCAGTCCATTTAGCTGTACAGCTCTCTCCTCATACAAGCATATGATCTCACCTGTCATATGTCTCCTTCTTATAGCCATGACGTTTCAATTCATCTTGGCAATGGGAATGATTTTAAAATTTATTTATTTATTTATTTATTTATTTTTTTTCCCATTTATTTATTTTATTGTATTTTAGGTTTGGGGGTACATGTGAAGAACATGCAAAATTGTTGCATAGGAACACACATGGCAGTGTGATTTGCTGCCTTCCTCCCCATCACCTACATATGGCATTTCTCCCCCTGCTATCCCCCCCCAGCTCCCCACCCCCCACCGTCCCTCCCCTATTTCCCCCCAACCGACCCCAGTGTGTAGTGCTCCCCTCCCTTTGTCCATGTGCTCTCATCGTTCAACACCCGCCTATGAGTGAGAACATGCGGTGTTTGATCTTCTGCTCCTCTGTCAGTTAATGCAAGAGGTCACTTTCTCACTGGAGTAAAACCTTACAATGTGGAATAATCATCATAATAGTTTTTTCTGTTGTTATTGAGACAGAGTCTCACTCTGTCACCCAAGCTGGAGTGCAGTGGCACAGTCTTGGCTCACTGCAACCTCTGCCTCTGGGTTCAAGCAATTATCTTGCCTCAGCCTCCCAAGTAGCTGGGATTACAGGCATGCGCCACCATGCCTGGCTAATTTTTTTGTATTTTTAGTGGGTAACGGGGTTTCACCATGTTGGCCAGGTTTGTCTCGAACATCTGACCTCGTGATCCGCCCGTCTTGGCCTCGGCCTCGGCCTCCCAAAGTGCTGGGATTATAGGCGTGAGCCACCGTGCCCAGCCAATAATGATGTTTTGAGACAGGGTCCTTCAGGCTGGAGTGCAGTGGTGTGATCTTGGCTCAATGCAACCTTCGCCTCCTGGACTCAAGCAGTCCTCCCACTTCAGCCTCCTGTGTGGCTAGGATCACAGGCATGCACCACCATGCTGGGCTAATTTTTGCTTTTTTTTTTTTTTTCGAGAAAGGATCTTGCCATATTGACCAGGTTGGTCTTGAATTGCTGAGCTCAGGAGATCCACCTGCCTCAGCCTCCCAAAGTGCTGGGATTATAGGCATCAGCTGCTGTGCCTGGCTTGAATAATTATTTTTAATGTCTAATCAGTGTAAACCCTAACATCTTTTCTCATTCTCTGTTTTTTATTTCTTTTATTCTGGTTTCTTTACATTGATTTACTTTCCTTTTTCCTGTTTACTTACAATGCTATGAATTAAATGTTGATATTATAGTACATGATAAAATGTGTGTCTGTATTTGTGTTCATAGCGTGGTAAGAAGTGTTTAAATGTTCTTACAGGCTAACAGGTGAATTAAAAATCAGGGCTGGTGTTACACTTGACAGATCTGATTATTTCATTCTACTGTGTCTCCTTTTTTTACTCAGATTCGAAATCAGAGCAAAGCCTCAGGGTCTGGGCTCTGTGAGGGAGATGAAGTGGTTTCTATCAATGGCAACCCTTGTGCAGATCTCACCTACCCTGAAGTCATCAAGCTCATGGAAAGCATAACAGACTCTCTCCAAATGCTCATCAAAAGGTACAACGAATTTGCTGGAATATGTATTTTCTCTTGAAGCTACGTAGGAATGATTACAGCTTCTACTACATATGTAACTTGTCATTTATAGAGAAATTAGAGGTGCTTTGTAGAAGGTTAGTATAATTAAACAGAAACACCACTGTTTGAAAAATAGTCAATTCTATTCAACCGTACTTTCTGGTTAATTGAGAATTAAGTTGAAAATCATTGTTTCTGGCACTTTGTTGAAAATCTTAGGGGTTTTAGGCTATTTCCTTGGAAAACTCAGTATATTGAGCATAACTTAATATTTCTTTGATAGGTCGTGATTTTGTGATGGATCAGAATCACTCAGTTGTAATTACCAGATGCACAGATGAATTAAAAATGTTTAAATATTAGACCATTCAACTATACAATTTTTCATTAAAAGAGGATGTGTAAGAGACGGAAAAGAAAAACAACAACAAAAACTTACAAGTAGCCAGATTTCTCCAGTAAAACCAATATTTGGGGATGGACAAAAGCAGATGATTAGAATAAGGTTTTTGCACTACCAACACAAGTCATTTGGTAATTCAGTCTCTTCAAATAGCACCATCCCCATGTAGTTGTTTAACAATATAGAAGAAACCTTTAAACATAAAAAAAGAAAGAAAACAATGAGAACAATAACAAAAAAACTTCAGGATTGACATTTTTCTGGTGTACAAATCACAGTATAGTCCATACTAATTTTGCAATAGAAGCCCTGAGTATTGCATTATAATGAATCCAGAAAGGAAAACTCTGGTTTCCTGGAGAGCAGATTTTAGGAAGATGTCAGAGGATATCTCAAGACGAACCTTAAAGCCCTCCAGATTTTTCTTCAACTTTGCAGAAACGCTGCTGATCATTCGGTATGATTCTGTTACAGAATCTGCTGATCATTCGGTATGATTCTGTTCTGGGATAAAAATGAGATCACTGTGGCCAAAATCTTGAGACAATAAAAGATATCCAGAATTATTCTTATAATCTTCTATCTAAATATTTACCCATCAAACCCAGTGTTTAAGGTCTTAGAGTCCTTCCTTCATATTATGAAGAGATAATAAGTTTATAAAATACATAATCAAATTTATAAAATAAAAAATTTACAAAATAAATAATTAATTAGTAGGATTCAAAATGGAATCTCAATTGAAAATCAAGTCAAAAACAATCATCATCATCACCACCATGACCACCACTTGGAATATCTGAATATTGTTTCCTGCAGTAAATATTTCTCTCACTCATACCACTGTCATCTGTCAGTGGAAGACAAGTGTTTTCACTTTCCTGAACTATTGCCCAGAGATAGCTAGGTGAGACTATTTTAAAATAACTCCTTTAACATTCCATATCTATTATCTTAAATTTTGTTAAAATGATAAGATTTTTAAAATTCTATAATTCTGACACATAAATTGTGGACTTGAGTACCTATGTAGACTGAAGGAAAATGAATGTTTTAAGGCATAAAGCTTTAGTCTCTCATGCTTTTATGATTTTTACTCATGTCTATACATTTACTTCAGCTACTGATAAATGTTAATATTTATCTGGCCATTTGTCTGAATTCCAGTCTACAAGGCTGGCATGAATTGAAGCTATCCTCTTCTCAGCTTCACAATTGATTGCGGGCATAATTCAAAGTGATTTAATCTAATTTCATCACAGGGACTTCCTAAATTAAAACTCTCTGACCTTTTGATACCCTTAAATTCAGTTTAACAGTATATGTAACATTTTCTACATAATGATCTAATTTGCTAATATCATGCTTTTTAAATACTATATTATAATGTTGTATAGATATTGTATTACCAGGAACCTTTTCCAATTACTTGCATATAGAGAAAGCTGCATTTTGTTTAACAGTTAGTTTTTGTTATGTTTTGTTTCGTTTTGCCAAATGCAGTTGAAAGCAAAGTTAGGAGTAAGTATTTTGAGCATTGGTCTGAAATTCCACTACCACATAAATTCTATGGTAAATTCCTTTGAGTAGAATACAAGTAGAAGCTCAGGCACTTCAGTTGATGTTCCCTGGATTAGTCATAACTATCTTTTAAGGAAGGAGGAAAGGGGCAAAGATAATTATGCTGCTTCTAAAATAAAAAATTTACAAATAGAAAAAATGAAGACATTTCCTTCAGCTGTTCTGTGAATAATACTTCTCAAAACAATTATAGTTTCAGAAAGAAGCTATGTAATTACTAAACTGACATTGCGTCCTCTTGCAAACCCAAATTTGCACAAACAACTGAGAACAGTTAAGGTCAAAATCAAAGAACTGTGGTGTACAGCTCTAGGCTCCTTAGCTGAGAGATAAAGGAACAGTTTGGCTTCAGGTATTCTAAAAAGAGAAAGCTCCAAGAAACCGGTTCAAATAAAAAAAAGGGAGACATCTCAGATTATAAATATCCCATGACTTAATGATTCATTGCAGCATGGAAAGGATTTCTCTTTACACAAGAGTACTGGGCTGGGTCCACTTATTACAAAACACATGCTCACTGGGGCTTAAAAAACAGCTTCTATTTCATTCCTTTCAAGAAAGCACAACCTCTAAAAGGATTACTTGAGTTATCTGTAAGCTAAGATTGATCTAAAGCTGCTGGACATGTGACTATGTGACTTCATAATGTCTAGACCAAAACTTAGTCAGTAAGACATTGAAATGCTTTGTCATATTCTAGCAAACCCATTATTCGAGATACCCAGATTCCAAGTACTTAACGGGATCCATGTAGCTACAAACTGTGCTTTTTAAAAATGAAAGCTGAATTTAGGATGGATTCAGGTTTCACAATCTTGTGTAAGAGTTTTGTTGCACTTTTAACAAAGTGTATTTGATATCTCTTTAAGTTGCAATATAAACATGTTGCCACCTTCTGTTTTCAAATATGTTGCAATTGACATTTAGAAGAATATGTTTTGACTATATCATGTATTAGACATCACAAAAGTGTCAGGAAGTTCTTTGGCAGGTGTAACACAGTCTGATTTGTGTCTGGAATGATTTTTCTGTGTGCAGACCATCCAGTGGAATAAGTGAGGCTTTGATGTCTGAAAATGAAAACAAAAACCACGAGCATCTCACACATGGAGGGTATGTGGAAAGTACCACCCTGCAGATTCGACCAGCCACAAAGACCCAGTGCACAGAGTTCTTCCTTGCCCCTGTCAAGAGTGAAGTTTCCCTAGCTGAGGACCAAAGAAGTAGTCCCGATTGTGCAGGGAACTTGAAGGAAGAAACAGGCCTGAGCTACCAAAGGGCTCCCCAAATGCCTGACTCCCAAAGAGGACGCATGGCAGAAGAGCTGATCTTAAGGGAGAAGGCAGAAGTAGAACAGTCCGGCCCTGTGGTTGAGCTGCAACTCTCCCTTTCCCAGGAGAGACATAAGGGCACGAGTGACCCTTTAGTGGCTCTCCCGGGAGCTGAAAAATCTGAGTTTCCTGACCCAGACCCTAGCTTGTCACAAGACAGAGTTGTCCACATAAACTCGATCCCTATCAGTGAGAAAGCAGACCCTTTCCTGAGGTCCAGCAAGATAATCCAGATCTCCAGTGGCAGAGAGTTGAGAGTGATCCAGGAAAGTGAAGCAGGAGCTGCAGGACTGCCCCAGGTGGAAGTGATCCTCGACTGCTCTGACAGGCAGAAGACAGAAGGGTGCAGGCTTCAGGCAGGAAAGGGGTGTGTGGATTCTCCAGTGGAAGGAGGGCCGTCAGAAGCACCTCCTTCTCTGGTATTCTTTGCCGTCTCATCAGAAGGCACAGAGCAGGGAGAAGACCCACGCTCAGAAAAGGATCACAGCAGACCTCACAAGCACCGAGCACGGCATGCACGTAAGTCCTGCCTGGGCTGTCAGAAGGGGCTTGGGAGTTCAGGGCATTTTGCTACTTCTTTGCTTGCATGAATTTTTCAGCAAGGTTTTTCTTATGTTTCCTACTGGCTTAAAGAAATATTTAATTAATGCACAAAATCACAAATGTGACATTGTGGAGAATACCAGTTTCTAAATGGGAAACAATAAGTTTGAACTTCATATAGATTGAAACATTTTTCATGAATTTCCTTTTATTCCCAAAGGCATAGGAACTGTTAAAGAAAATAATATTGTCAATATACCTATTCAGTTTGATTCAGAAAGTTGAAATATTTCGTGGTAAAATAGCATAAGAAAGCACTTGAAGTCATGTGGACTCAGTTTAAATGTCAAAAACTGTGAGTCTGCTACTGAGAGGTGTCTTTAAAATAAAAGCTCTACTACTGATATCAAAAACAGATCCTCGTTTTGAAAAAAATCATTGTGCAGCTTGATGATGCTTGCAGAAGTGAGCTTGACAGACAAGGACATGTGTATACTGAGCAGTTACATGATCCTCTCCGTTTTGTAAGTCTTCATTAGACTGCAAAGTGTTTCATCTACCTTCTAGACACAGATGTCAGTCTCCAGTGCCATGTGGAGGCATTTAAATGTCCCCAAACATAAAATATATTTAAATTCAATGCTTTGTATGGCATTTTGTTTTACCCAGGGTAGTGAAGACAGAAAGGAGAATAGGGATAAGAATTACAGTTAGGTGTTATGATTTCTGTTGTTTTCTTTCATGTATTTTTTAAAACTAATTTTGGAATATTATTTGAGGATGTAAAGGCTGACAGGCAAAGGCCCTTGACTATAAGTGATAAACAACAGCAATGCGTTTGGTTATTCAAAGTATGATATTAAGTCTTCTAACCTATTGTTATTTCTTTCAAAGCATATTTTTAGCATAACCATTTGTAGCTTTATTGGCAAGTGCTGTTAATCATTCCTTATACTTTATGCATCTGTAGGCCATCTTCACATTTATAGCATATTAAACAAGAGTATTGAGACACCATTCACATACTTTACATGTTGGCCGTGAAGTTAGCAGCAACTGTGCAACTGTGACTGTCAATTTAACAAGTTGTATAACACTAGTCAAAAAAGGGAATTATATTTAGTAATAACCGCACTTGTAACTATAGTCTCTCTATAAAATTTGATCACCAGGAAATGTCTGTAATCTTATTATAAATTATTTCCTTGGAATATATTTTATTTTCAAAAAACTAGCTATTAAGTCTTACTTTTTTCCAGTGACAAAAAGAGCTAATATTCAATCATAAACTAGTCAAGGCATTTTCCTTAATTTTCCACTTAACTATTTTAAGGAATTAAAAAATTTAGGGGACTCATTATCATTGAAAACATGATATAATTATAAATTATAAATTATAGATGCTGTATGTTTATTTGCTATAAATTAATTTGTCACCAATTTATTTTTATAGTAGTAATAACGAAAATTTTAAATATTTTTATTTTATAACCATCATAGTCTTGTTTTAAATAACTTAATTTCTCCATCAGTTTTTGCACAGTTAAAAGGGTCACAAGTCAATTTTTACATTTCTCCAAGATTTACCCTTATTCTTGCTTCAGTTAAAGTAACATTGTATTTCCAAAATAGCAATACATTTACAAACAAATCTGTCTAGAAAACTTTGTAGTTAGAGTTTCTTTATGTATTTACAATAATGCCATATTTTGAATTAATTATAACTATTATTGATTCAGTACCCTCAATGATTAATTCAATGTTTTGAACTTATATTAATCTAATAGCTGTAAATCAAAAGATTTGGGGCAGTTGTCAGGGTAAAAAAAGAAAAAAGAGAAAGAAGAAAACCTCAATAGCTAAGTTCATTACATTAAAACACGTAAGAAAAGTTTAAAACATCTTCTTGGGACATTCGTCCCTTTTTAAGATACCTGGAAACAGTTTTATGCTGACATTTCATTTTAAAATATAGAAGTCTGAGGCAGGTCTTATCTTGTTTTTCAGAAAATATTATGTCTTTAGATTATGTTCTTCTTTATTCTAATTTTATCCTATTAATTGGCGTGCAATAGCCAGCTTTTATTATTAAAGTGGACGTATCTCTAGAGAAACAAGTGTATGAAACATATATTCTAATCAGCATATATAAAATGTTTTTTATGTAAACAAATAGAATATGGCATTGTTGAGTGTTATATAGAGAGTATATTACTGTAGAAGAAAAAGTGTTAAGAGAAATAAAAAAGAGAAATGAGTTGGATTCCTTCAAACTTCAGTACCCAATTGTAATTTTTTACATATTTATTTTCCCCCAGGAGAGTTCATTTCTGAGCTGCTATGGTGTCTTCCTTGAACTCATCAGCTCAATATAATTTTTTTTTTTTTTTTTTTTTTTGCTTCCCCTAGGGCTCAGGAGGAGTGAAAGCCTGTCAGAAAAACAAGTGAAGGAAGCAAAATCTAAATGCAAAAGCATTGCCCTTCTTCTAACAGATGCTCCCAACCCCAACTCCAAGGGGGTGTTGATGTTTAAGAAGCGTCGTCGGAGGGCCAGGAAATACACCCTAGTTAGCTACGGTACTGGCGAGCTTGAGCGAGAGGCAGACGAGGAGGAAGACGGTGACAAGGAGGATACAAGTGAAGTAGCATTTCTTGGTGCAAGTGAGTCAGAGGTGGATGAAGAGTTACTGTCTGACATTGACGACAGCACACAAGCTGTGAACTTTGACTGGGATTCTGGGCTGGTGGACATTGAAAAGAAACTGAACAGAGGGGACAAGATGGAGATGTTACCAGACACCACAGGCAAGGGAGCCCTCATGTTCGCCAAGCGGAGGGAGAGAATGGATCAGATCACAGCCCAAAAAGAAGAGGACAAGGCAGGTGGAATGCCAAGCAGAGAACAAGATGCTGCCCAGACAGATGGCCTGAGAACCATGACTTCTTACCAAAGAAAGGAGGAAGAGTCGGTGAGAACGCAGAGCTCTGTGAGCAAAAGCTACATCGAGGTGAGTCATGGTCTTGGCCATGTGCCCCAACAGAATGGCTTCAGTGGGGCATCTGAGACAGCAAACATCCAGAGGATGGTCCCCACGAACAGAACAGCCAAACCCTTCCCAGGGTCTGTGAACCAGCCAGCCACCCCCTTCTCGCCAACCCGAAACATGACAAGTCCCATTGCTGACTTTCCTGCACCTCCACCTTACTCTGCGGTCACTCCTCCCCCTGATGCCTTCTCCAGAGGGATATCAAGTCCTATTGCTGGCCCAGCACAGCCCCCTCCATGGCCCCAGCCTGCCCCATGGTCCCAGCCAGTCTTTTACGATTCATCTGAGCGAATAGCTTCCCGAGATGAGAGGATCTCAGTGCCAGCAAAAAGAACAGGAATATTGCAGGAAGCCAAAAGGAGAAGCACGACAAAACCCATGTTTACTTTTAAAGAGCCCAAAGTAAGCCCAAATCCTGAACTCTTGTCACTCCTTCAAAATTCAGAAGGCAAACGGGGCACTGGAGCTGGAGGTGATTCCGGACCGGAAGAAGACTACCTCAGCTTGGGAGCAGAGGCTTGCAATTTCATGCAAAGCACCTCTGCCAAACAAAAGATCCCACCTCCTGTTGCTCCAAAACCTGCAGTCAAGTCCTCATCCTCCCAACCAGTAACTCCAGTTTCCCCAGTCTGGTCTCCAGGAGTGGCTCCCACCCAACCTCCGGCCTTCCCCACATCCAGCCCATCAAAGGGCACCGTCGTCTCCTCCATCAAAATAGCCCAGCCTTCTTACCCTCCTGCCCAGCCTGCAAGTGCTTTAAACCTGGCTGGTCCCTTCAAAGGACCACAAGCAGCAGTAGCCAGTCAGAATTACACACCCAAACCAGCAGTTCCCACACCAACAGTCAATGCTGCTCAGCCTGGTGCAGTGGGACCATCCAATGAGCTACCAGGAATGAGTGGGAGAGGAGCTCAGCTCTTTGCTAAAAGGCAGTCGAGAATGGAGAAGTATGTGGTCGATTCAGACACCGTGCAGGCTCACGCTGCTCGAGCTCAGTCTCCCACTCCGTCTCTCCCAGCCAGTTGGAAGTACTCCTCCAATGTCCGAGCACCTCCTCCTGTGGCTTATAATCCTATCCACTCCCCCTCCTACCCACTAGCTGCTCTCAAATCTCAGCCATCAGCTGCACAGGCCCCCAAAGTGGGCAAGAAAAAGGGGAAGAAACCACTCAATGCATTAGATGTCATGAAGCACCAACCGTATCAGCTCAATGCATCCTTGTTTACTTTCCAACCTCCAGATGCAAAGGATGGCCTCCCCAAAAAGTCATCAGTCAAGGTCAATTCAGCCCTGGCCATGAAGCAAGCTCTTCCTCCTCGGCCAGTGAATGCTGCCTCACCTACGAATGTGCACGCTTCATCAGTGTACTCGGTACCAGCCTATACCTCTCCCCCATCCTTCTTTGTAGAGGCCTCCTCACCAGTCAGTGCATCCCCAGTGCCTGTGGCCGTTCCCACCTCACCAAAGCAAGAATCAGCCTCTTCGTCTTATTTTGTGGCACCAAGGCCAAAGTTCTCAGCCAAGAAAAGTGGTGTCACAATTCAGGTGTGGAAACCATCTGTTGTGGAAGAGTAATCTTGTAGCTGAAGCTGAGTGTCCACTTTGCTTGAAATGAATTGTTTGCAGTGTGACTTGAGTCCCTGAGAATGCCTAGCAAAGTCCTCAACTTACTTAATTTCAGATATGCCACCTCCCAATCTGGGTCCAAGGAGCAAAATATTTTTATTGAGTCAAAAATTCAACTCAGATTGACCTAACATATATTTATCTTCTTTGCACACTTAAAAAAATCCAGGAGCACTTCCAAATAGACATGTACCATTTTATTAAGTAAGCAGGATACTTAGGATTTATGCAGTGGCCAAAAGAAAGACAGTGATCAGTGTTATCAAACATTAGGAATCAGCCTTTATGTAACACAACAGCTGTGCTCCTATGGTGAAAGGTTCAAAGGTAGTGAAGATATAACCTATATTGACTGAAATTTCCCTTTTAGGTAGTGCCTTTCTCTATTACTTGTATTAAAGGAATAAGAGATCTATTGAGGACAGGGAGCAGCTCTGGTCTGTCAATGTCAGCCACCTGTTTGGTATCACAGAGGACGTACTTGGAGGATTGTTGGAATGTATATAGTTTAGTAAGAAGTGGGTAAGAGGGTCTTAGTAATTACTGAGCACTTACAAAGTATTAGGTTCTTTGCCAGATGTTTTTACATATATTAACACTTCAGAAGACTTATTTAAAGTAAATGGGGTTAGGCATGGTGGTCCATACCTGGAATCCCAGCACTTTGGGAGGACAAGGTGGGAGGACTGCTTGAGGCCAGGAGCTGGAGACCAGCCTGGGCAACATAGTGAGACCCTGTCTCAATAATAATAATAATAATGAAGTAAATTGGATAAGGAAAGAAGGAGAATTATCTTTAAATATTGATTCCCACCCTCCCTCCCCAGTTACTTAAGGAACTAAGTGAGTACATCTCCAGTTGCCCATGAAAGCATGTTTGTTTTCCTCAGCTGAGGCAAGTGGTAGAGTAAACAGGATAATGAAGTAATATGTAAAAAGCAGAATGCACATAAAGGTATGCATGTTTATTGTTTTGCCTGGAGAAACCACATGACCGGGACCTGAAAGGTTACTGATTACAGGGGCTGATTGTGAAGCACGAGGAACCCCATGTGTGTGGAGACTGTAGGGTGAGAACACACAACTTTTGGCATCATTTCTGAGTGGCCTCACAGATTCTTTTTCTTGTGTTTCTTTTGCTTTTTGACAACTGCTTCTCCCACGTTTCTTGCAATTCTGTTCTCTCACCTTCACTTTGTTATCTGTATTTGATGGACCAGGATAATTGAGGCAAGGTTACCTTGTAAACTTGAATTGGCCACACACCATGTCGTCACCCAGCTGGCTATGAAGTGAATAACGGTACTGAAAGCAAACCTGGAGACCTTTCTTAGATCTATTTTAAGTTTGAGTCTGACCAACCATGGAAAATATTCAACATGAATTAATGTAGAGAACTATAAAGTATTTATGACAGCTCCAAGGAAAATCATCTACTTTATGCAAGAGATATGTTTAGAGACCTCTCAGATAAACTTGCCTGGGTTGAGGGTACACAGCACCATTTTAATCCTCTGAAAATGTCTGTATTCCTGTTCTTTTCTGCTGTCACTGTCAATCTGCTATATTTTTCACTATCCTATTAAAATATTACCATCTTCTTTATCTGTTCAATGTCCATATTTTGAATATCTTCATTGTATGACCTATTCTGATCTCAGTAACTCCTCTGATATTTCTCTATATGGCTCCCACAACAACTTCATTGTTAGCATATCTGTTTCTCCATACATTGTAAAATTGTAAGCCTTAGGTATTTCTAAAACATAAAAAGGAGAATTAAGTCAACTGCAGAACAATGGGGCTGATTCTTCTGCTTTTTCTCTGGAAAACTCTTTCATTGCTTTTGGCAGAAATTTACCTAGAGGTTACAGCCACAGGATGTAGCTTGGTCTCTTATTTGCCTTTTTGGGAAATCAATTAAGATTAATACAGGATAAAGGGAAAAAGCAATCTATTCATTATATAACACAGTTGTTTGTATGACTTGTTCCCTGCAAAGGAAATCTGTTGAATGCTTGCATTTTGAATTCTTTTCTAATAGAACAACCAAAAAAGGCTTCTTACGGTGCAGCAGGAAAAAAGATCATTTTTATAGCTTTGCATTCTTAAAATAGCATTTAAAGAACGGCATGAATTAGAGGAAAGGCGTGGAACACGCAGGTAGTCAATTTGAGATCATCGGCTCAAAAGTATCTTAGGATGGTAATGACCCAGAAGTATTTCCAGTTGTCTAGTGGTTTGTGGCATGCAGGAATGAGAAGTGTTTTCTTTCCATTTCCTGTTGGACAGGTGGCAATCTTAGCAGAGCCACTATTTGGAGTTGATAACTAAAGACACAAATAACTTGACTATATCTTCTGGTCATCCTAGGACTATTTAGAGTTCCCCAAAACCTTGTAAGAGGCATGTCAGGCATGCAGTAAAAGTATCTATGACTTCAGCTGGGCACTGGCAGCATATGTCTCATCTTGGACCATACAGTCCCACTTTATAGGAGAGGGTGGAAATTCTCCAAAACAATATCCACAGCAAAGTCTGACCTCACTCTGAGGGAGATGGGAAATGGATGGGAGGACTAACCAGCTCCCTAGAGTAAGAGGAATTTCCTTTCCCTGTCTCTCCAGCAGGGGGCTGTATGTACCACCTTTCAGGTTGGGGTCAAAGAAGTGATCTCAGTGTGACAGAAGGGAGAGGTAGACATCCAGACACCAGTTTCCCTACCATGGGGCACACTTTCAATCTGAGTGTTGTTGGCTTAGCTGTGTTGGCAGTAGTTTGATTGGTTGATCCGCTGGTTATGAGGTGTAAGGGAGGCAGTTTTTGTTTAGTTTTTAGGACTTTGCCTCTTCCTTTGTCCTTAGCTTAATTTCTAGGCAGCACATCCATGAAGCTGGTTTTCATTGCCAGCTCAAGAGTGACAATCATTTCCTGTGTTCCTGTGTTAAGTGCCTTATGTATATCATCCCAAATCCACTGCGTGGTTTAAATACGGGCACTAGAATATAAACGAAAACTATCATCACAGTTTCTGACTTTCTGCAGGACCTTAAACATTTCTCTTTCCATGAGTTTCCCCTTAATAATGTGTCAAGCCTCTCTTCCCAACCGGAATGTTGTGCTGCAGTGAATCTTCATAATCCTTGAGATTCTAGGAGGAAGGAAGGTTCCATGGACATGTAAGTACAGCATATTCCCCTCAGTCTTCTAGGAGGCCAGAGTGAGTCCCAGAACTGGTAAGACTGGCAATCTGAGCATTGCCACTTTAATCTTAGAACATTTATCATGTTGACACATCCTGTTTTTTAGAGAGGAAAAACACATAGTTTCTGCATTGATAGTGTAAAGCATACCTTGTTAGGAACATGTTTTGTAAGACACATTTGGGTTTTCATTCTAGAGCATGTCAAACTTAGTACTTCAAAATATATCTAGTATGATTGTTAGTGATAGCACATACAAAGGCTTTGCATTAACTCTTTTATTTAATTTTCACAAGAAGCACTTATTTTAACCATAGAAAAACCAATCTGAGTGACAAATAGTTCTTTAAAATAAGCCAGGGTTATTTAGCTATTCTAGAAAGTGCCAACTTCTTGCAAGAAGCAGGCATTGTAGGACAGCTGAGAATGATCACACAGCCTAAATTCTAGCCTGGCAGCAACAGTCACATCTGAGATGTCAAAAACACATGATCGACATTGAAAGGGGGTGGACTAACATATGTGGGACCATTTTCCTATTTGCAGTTATGAGGTTAAAGTACTCTGAAGGTCATTTTGCTACTGAGAGGCATGTGGAACATTCTGTGTGGCTCTTTCACAGTAAACCCTCTTAAGAGCAGAAGACACATGGCTGTTAGTGTCTGCGTTTAGATTTAATCTCTCAAATAAATGCCCCCCTTTGCTGCATATCACTTTATCCAGTTATAAACTAGGGCTTATGCAAGCACCCACATTCTAAGGGTGAGTTATTGAAATCAGTTGCTATTTATGAGTCACCACTGGCCCAGTAAGCAGGGTATTTGAAGTTATGGTCATCAAAAAGAAATGATTGTTTTTTGAAAAGCTAAATGCTTAAAATGCTTCTAGAGGGAAGTGGTGGGGCGTATGTTCATTCCCTCTTAAAATCAGGGTTGTTGAGTTTGTTTTTAAACATTTTTATAAGTTCATGAGAAAAAATATATAAATTCTAAGAACCAACATTGTATTCCCAGAAACATGACCCTCGCTGGCCTTGGGTCCACATATCATTGGACTCTGGGGGACACAGAGACGCCTGTGACACTTCAGTGCTGCCGAGTTAGTCAACAATTATTCTGGGAAAAGCAGAATTGAGTTCTTCTCTAGATGTCCCACCAGGGTTGGCCAAGGGCCACAAAGCAGGCTAATAAATTCCCACAGGATCCAGACACCAAGCAAAATTGCTCTAAGAAGTCAGTCACTGTCATCCCTTTGTGGTTCTAAAACAAAAATGACAGGTCATCCTATGAGCGTCATGCCAGTGAAACCCTCTCTTCTGGAGAAGCCCTCAAATCAAAATCACCTTTTTTCTTTTTGTTATCAGGTACAGCCAGTTTCTTACATTTTTTTTAAACTGTATGTTTCTGTGGTATGTATATTTGTACACCAAACTACCTGGCATTTGGAAATCACAGCACTATTCAGAGGCAATTGAATAAAGAGAAATTTAATTTAAAGTATCAAATCCTGTCAGACATTTCTCAGACTTCTGATTTTATCAAAGGTTTGTCAGCCAGTAAAGTGCATCTCAAGTGTACAGGGCAGAAAGCTAGACTTCTAAAGAGTCCTGGAGTTTAATTAATTTTTTTGTTATTGATATAAGTAATAATTTTTCTAATTTGTATTTTTTGGTTCCCCATGTAAAGCTCCTCATGTTTACCTCTGTTTATGTCATTC